ACCCTGATATGTGTGTAAAATAAAGATAATGACAGAGAAATAAAGAGTGAGGGTGACTTTAAATCATTTCTACAACCCAATTTAAAAGTAGAGATACCAATAATTTATTATTGTAATTCATATTCTTTTACAAGCTGTAATAAAACCTTTGTTTTGTCTCCCAGAGAGTCGAGAGCGAAGCTCTTGGAACAGAGAGGCTGTCTGCTCCTTCGCCCCTCCACACACACCAGGTCCGCTCGGCTCCGGCTCCCCCGTCAGACCAGTTCGCCCACTACAGCCAGCTCCATGGGGACGCAGACACTCCCAGCAGCCTGAGCCAGCTCCTGGCCAGACTCCTGCCCAGAAAAGGTAAGGGCTGGGCATCTGAGCAGGGGTGCCACTGAAGGGCAGTAGATGGGGGGGCAATGACCGCACCAAAAACATTTACTGTGCCCACCTCACTCGGCCAAACGTATCCCTTTGAGTTTAAAGTTTGTTTTTTTTTGGTGTGGGATTTTAATTTTCACAGATTAAAAAACACATAAAAAACAAACACAGCTTTTTTTTTGTTGCTTGAAAATTTGTGGCTCCTCTTGCAAAATAAGAACAGATCTAAGCTGAACAGAATCCAGTGTGGTGCAGAAACCACGTCATATTATGGAACGACACGAGTACTGACTGTGCAGTAAAAAAATAAGTTGGTTCTCTGTCGTTTTACAGTATTTTTCAAATATCTTGTGCATGACAACAACATACATGTACAGCTTTTTGCTCTATCACCCTAAGATTATCAGTGACCTCCTTTTCTGCCCCCCCCCCCCCCCCTCCAAAAAAAAAAACTTTCTGGAGGTGGCTTTAAGGTGTGAATGCATGGATCTAATCAGGGTTAAATGTCCTCGCCCTCCAGCCATGTCGCACGCATCATTCTCCTGTTGTTGTTTTTTTTTCCTCTCTGCTCCGTCTGTAGTCAGCTGTCTTTCACGCTGCTCCCGTGTCCCACCATCTGCCGTGTCCCAGCTCCCTCCTGCGTCCACGTCTCCTCTCTGTCCCTTCCATTTCTGGTTCCATAGCTTTTCCCACTCGTGTCCTTTCCATGCTGTCATCACATATCTCTGTTGCCCCGCCCCCCCATAAGTCAGCGCTGTGCGACTGGGAGACCTGCTGAGCTGACTGGTTCTACAGAGAGACAGAAATAGGAACCAGTCAGGATAAGTTACTTCAAGCTTTAGCAGCATCCCGTAATCTGTCCCATCTCTTCCAGGCTCTTCCTTCCAGAGCAGATCCTCCCTCAGCAGCAGAGCCGTGGCCCCCAGCCACAGGATAAAGGACAGAGACTACCTGGGCTGGATGGACTTTGGAAGAAGGAGTGCAGAGGAGTACGAATACTCCCCGTAAATGCTTTCATCCACCCCTGATCCAAGTGTCTCATCATCTCATAGGAGATCTGTGAACAGCGATGCTAACATTAAACCAGCAAACAGTTTCTCACAGTGTATCAAAAACTTGACAGGAATAAAAAGACATTATGGGAGATTTTTGTTGTTAATGAGTCTTACAACCAAAAGCATTCATGTGTTTTTATTTGTATTATTTTCATTTCCCAATGATTTCTTTCCCCTCAAACAGTTCAAACATTTCATTTTATTAAAGAGAAAAACAACTAATGTCTTAAATCATCTGAGTCCTGCAGTTTTTCTTAAACATTATAAATTATTGCATGTTTATTTGGGTTTAGGTTGAGTGTTAAACCCGCACAGATTTAGTACAAGAATATTTCTTATAGGAGCAGGAGTATTTGTTTAAATCTGACAATAAACACAAGCTGTAAGAAACTGATGCTCATTGAAAATAATCATTTATTTTATTTTATTTGAAAAGCGCCTTTCAGGACACCCAAGGACACTTATTAGACACATCATAGAAGAATGTGTGAAAATACAGTTAGAGACAAGCAGGCACGAGTTTCAGAGAATTGTGTACAAATGAAGTGAAGATGGATATGCTAATCTAAAGAGGTGTGTTTTTAAAGCAGAAGAGAGGTGATGTTTCTTAAGTCAGGTGGTAGAGAGTTCCAGAGGAGAGGTGCAGAACAGGTGAAGGCCCTGCTCCCCATGGTGGAGAGACAGGCAGTGGGTACTTGGAGGTTTAGGGAAGAAGAGGATCTGAGAGAGCAGGAGGAGAGGGAGATGTGTACGAAGTCAGACATGTAAGGAGGGGCAAGATGGTGGATAGATTTGAATGTGAGAAGAAGAATTTTGAAGACGATGCATGATTTGAGCGGGAGCCAGTGGAGCTGCTGCAGGACTGAGGTGATGTGGTTATGGGAGGAGGTTTGGGTGATGACACGTGCAGCTGAGTTCTGGACCATCTGAAGACTACGGAGGGATTTGTTGGGGAGGCCAAAAAGAAGAGAGTTACAGTAAATCCGTGAAGTCACAAAATAAGCTGTGAAGCCAGAGTTCTGGTTTTCACTGCTTTATTGTTGTTTTTCCTCATGGGACTCATGATAATGCTAAATATATTTGTTTAGTTTGCATTGCTAGATGGACAGAAATGCAAACAAAATGTCTTGTTGCAAAGACGCACTGTGGAAAAAAAACAAAAAGAAAAAACTATATAGGTCTTCTGGACGGGTTCTTCTCTAATGAAACGTTTCGTCTCTCCTCCAAGAGACTTCTTCTGTCTGAGAGTTTCAGGCAAAATTCTGGACTACTTAGATGCATCAGGACACTGTGGAAAAAAGTTAGTGTCAGAGATATTTTAATCGTTTTTCTTTTTACCAAAATCCCAGAAACTTTTTTGAATTATTTTATCAGCTCCCTATTTGGCACAAATGTTCAGAAGGTAAGAAAACAAACTGCAGCTCACAGCCTCACTTTACTTCATACTACAACTATATTTTTGTATAAATACCATCTGCAAAAGAAAACTGACATTTCGGATTTTTCAGTTTCAGCCAAAGTGAAAAGTTTGTAATAAATTGTGAAAAATCGCAGAAAAGGGAAACAAATAATCTGGTTTTGCGCTGCATCCAGAGGGTAAACCCTGAGAAAATGTGTGGTGCTGAACAAACTAAAGATTTCTGTCAGTGCACACAGACCACACATGCAAATCTGCATGATTAGGTTTTAGACATTAGCTGTAAAGATGCTATATTAAGAACATATCTCTTAAACATTTAGGATAAATCTCTGTAAAAATTGAAGCTACAGTATATTTCTGTTGACTTTCAGGCAATGTAGATTTACACAAAGAGCTCAAACATTTGATGCAGCTGCTTCTGGGAGAGATGCTCAATCTGGTACCAGTTAAGTGCCGCATCTGGAGTGTCGAACTAGCTGTGGACGGAACAAGGTACTTGGTTTAAGGCAGACTGTAATGCAGACTTGCACAAGG